CCAGGGGGTCCCCGAGCAGGAGCAGCGGGAGCCCAGCACCTGGCTGGCAGGGACAGGGGGATCCCTGAGTAGGAGGTGCAGGGAGCCCAGCACCCAGCTGGCAGGGACAGGGGGGTCCCCGAGCAGGAGCTATAGTGAGCCAAACACCTGGCTGGCAGGGACTGGTGCTTCTTGGGCTTTGGAACTGGGAGTAATTGGTCCTAAGAATTTTTCCCCCAGTTCTGGGGTTGACCCCAGGGTCTTGGCATTGAGCTTTATCCCTAGTCCCTCCATTCCCCCTTTTTTTTTTGAGGCAAGGTCTCACTATGTTGTTCAGGCTGGTCTTGAATTCACTATGTAGCTTAGGCTGGGCTCGAACTTGCTGATAGGTTCTCGCCCTAGTACGAATTGCTGAATAATTATGGTGTTCATCTAATATAGCTGAAGCCCTTAATACAACAGCTTATCTTCCCAGAGACCAGCTCCCATCTTCTCCAACCCAGCCCAGGGTGCAATTTCCTTTCACCTTTCCCAACGCCTCAGGGAAGACTCCTGAGATATTTCTTTTATTTATTTATTTATTTTTTTGACTGAACTGGGGATTGAACTCAGGCCCTTGCGCTTGCCAGAGAAGCAATCCTGAGGTATTTCTAAACATCCCCTCAAACTCCACCCCTAACAGGGGTCCATAAGAGCCTCAGCTTTCTTTGGCTCAGGCCAGAGGATCCGCCCCATCTGCCCTCAGTCCTCTCCAAGTGTTTGGAGTTAATAATGGCTTCTTTTATCTTTCCTATCTCTTTATTGCACTGCAAAAACCCTACACTTGTCATCCTGCCTCAGCCTCCTGGAGTGCTTAGATTCCAGGCCTGCACCACCGCACCAGGCCTCTAAGGAGCACTTTAGACACATTTTTTGGAACTGACAATCTAACTCAGGACCTTGTGCTTGCCAGGCAGGCACTGTGCCTCTGGGCTATATCTCTCGCCCTCTTTCTTTTTTTTAAATACATTTTACAGGGCCGGCCAGATAGCTCAGTGGACTAAATTAGCACCTGCTTAGGCAGAGTGCAACGGCCAAGGCTCCATCCCTGGAGTGTTGTGCTGCGCCAGCCCTGCCCGTGGGGTGCAATGAGACAGTGAGTGAGACGGGGCGTGGTGGCTTGCGCCTGTAATCCCAGTGTTTGGGAAGCTGAAAACAGGAGAATCACTGAGTCTGATCCATGTAGTGTGACCCTGTAGACCCTGACTGTGGGAGTCCCTTCCTGGTTCTTGTCTCAGTCCAAGAAGTTAATATTTGTCTTTTTTTTTTTTTTTTTTTGGTGGAACTGGGGATTGAACTCAGGGCCTTGTGCTTGCCAGGGAAGCGCTTATTCCACTGAGCCATCTCCCCAGCCCCCAAGAAGTTAATATCTTTTTTTTTTTTAAATTTTTTAAATTTATTTATGTGTGTGGGGCCAGCTCAGCCCACCAGGGGGTGGGGCTGGCTGGCACGTGGTGCTGGGGGATTGAACTGCAGTCCCTTTGCTTTGCTAAGCTTGTTCTAAGTAGGTGCTTTAGACCACTGAGCCATCTCACTAGTCCCAGAAGTTAATATCTTTAATCCCAAAGATACGTTATTGGAATTCCACCAAGTTACTTCCAATCTACCACTCTCAGTGCAACCCACAGCGAAAGTAAAGACACTAAAACATATTTATAATTATTGGGGAGTCAAGAGGCTCTTAAGTCCAGCCACATAGATGGATTTCTGGAACCAAGAGGCTGACCCAGGGCCTCACCCAGTTTTATTCAGGGGGGTAGTGGCTTGAGGAGGAATGACCGAGAATTGTGGGAAGTAGGTGACTGCTGTGAGCTGAGCTAGGTGGGGGGCCTACATTTACTTCTGCCATATGCAGAGAGGATATGCAGAGATAGTAATCTGCTTTATGCTACTGAGATAGTATCTAATGTTTGGGGGGGTCGGAGGCTTCAGCTTTGATGTAATCTTTCAACCCCCAGGAAGTCAGAGCCTCTGTCTCGAGGCTCGATCCTAGCTGGTGGCACAGAGCATTGGCTCTTCGTCCTGTCTCGACCCGGCTCACATTAAGGAGCAGCAGGTGTAGGTTACCAGGGAAACAGGCATGCCACCTTCAAAGACTATCACCAGCACCTCAGCTAGACCATTACATATTGCTTCAGGCCAATTGAAGGATAAGCAGAAGTCCTAGCCAGCTCTGTACATACCAGTTCTAGGAAATAGGGTCAGGCTCGGTCAAAATGGAGACAGTCGCGCTTCTTTCAAGGAGAGCTGCTCCAGTGGTCCTCCATACCTGACTTAAAGACATACAAAATAAATAAAATACATTTTACAAAATGATAACATGCAGCCTAGCATGGTGGAGCACACGTGTCATCCTAGCATGTGGGAGGCTGAAGCAGAAAGATAATTTTTTTTTTTTGCAGAACTGGGGATTGAACTCAGGCCCTGGTGCTTGCCAGGGAAGTGTTTATTCTACTGAGCCATCTCCCTAGCCCCCAGAAAGATAAATTTTTGCTGTGAAAAGTTCAGAGCAGAGTGGCGTGGAATAGAAAGATGTGCTGGCACTGGCCGTGGGGCTGAGCCCTTCTGGAGCAGGCAATGTGGAGCTCCCAGAAGCCCCGTGGCCTGGGTGCGTGCCCACTGCCCTGAGCGTGACATGCACCTGAGGTGCTTACGTGGGAGACGGCGCTCAGCACGAGCAGAGAGGAGAACAGGCCCCCTGTCCCGACCACTGCCTGGCCTGACCTGCTACAGGTCCGTGGCATTTCTCAGCAGCAGCCTCTGGGGACACTGTGGGTCCACTCCACAGCTATGTGCTGGTGTGCAGGTCACACTTAGTGCAGAGCACGTCCTCAAGAGTGGCTTTTCCTGTCTGGACATAAAGAGCCTCCCACATTCTTTTCATGACTGTAAAGTCCCCCTGGATCAATGACCATTTGTCCCAGCTCTCCTTTGGAACATATTTCTGTCTCTGCTATGGGTTTTGTTGTTGTTACTGTTTTTTTTTTTTTTGTTGTTGTTGTTGTTTGGCAGAACTGGGGATTGAATTCAGGCCCTTGTTACTGTTTTTGTTTTTTTTTTTTCTTTTTTCAGAACCAGGGATTGAACTCAGGCCCTTGCGCTTGCCAGGCAAGTGCTTATTCTACTGAGCTATCTCCCCAGCCCCCTTGTTTTTTTTTTTTTTTTTTTTTTTCTTTTGAGACAGGGTCTAGCTCTGTAGCCCAGACTGGCCTAGAACTCATAGCAGTCCTCCCATCTCAGTGCCTTGAGGCTGAGATTATAAGCCATTAAGATAAGATAACATCTTGCTACATAGGTTAGGCTGATCTTGAAATAACTAGGCAGCAGAAACTAGCCTTCAGGCCGGGGAGATGGCTCAGTGGAATAAGCGCTTCCCTGGCAAGCACAAGGACCTGAGTTCAATCCCCGGTTCTGCAAAAAAAAAAAAAAAAAAAGAAACTAGCCTTCACTACGGGGATCTTCCTACCTCCTGAGCACTGGGATGACAGGCCTTGTAGAGACATTTAGTGTCTGAGTGGTTCCTGCAGACCACCTGGGCAGCTGGGGTAGGCTATCTTGGTGGGAGATGGCCGTGCAGCCCCATGGGGGCCAGCTCACAGATCGTTCGACCAGAGGACCACAAATTCTGCTTTCCCTTGCCTCAGGCTCATCCCAGACACTTGTGTCCCCGCTCACCTCTCCCTTCTGTCCCCCCAGTGGCCAGTTTGCCATCGTGCGGAAGTGCCGGCAGAAGGGCACAGGCAAGGAGTACGCGGCCAAGTTCATCAAGAAGCGGCGCCTGTCGTCCAGCCGGCGTGGGGTGAGCAGGGAGGAGATCGAGCGGGAGGTGAGCATCCTGCGGGAGATCCGGCACCCCAACATCATCACGCTGCACGACGTCTTCGAGAACAAGACGGACGTGGTGCTCATCCTTGAGCTGGTGTCCGGCGGCGAGCTCTTCGACTTCCTGGCCGAGAAGGAGTCCCTGACCGAGGATGAGGCCACTCAGTTCCTCAAGCAGATCCTGGACGGTGTCCACTACCTGCACTCCAAGCGCATCGCCCACTTCGACCTTAAGGTAAGCCTGGGGGCCACGTGGCCCCTTGAGCTGCTGCTGTGTCCCTGTCCTATGGGCTCAAGCCACAGAGATCCCCGTGTCCCCCAGCCAGAGAACATTATGCTTCTGGACAAGAATGTCCCTAGCCCGCGCATCAAGCTCATCGACTTCGGCATTGCCCACAAGATTGAGGCCGGCAACGAGTTCAAGAACATCTTTGGCACCCCTGAGTTTGTGGGTGAGGCTCAGCTTGCCAGAAGGGAGGTGGGATGGGGACTTGGGAAGGCTCACTCCTCCTGCTCTCTGGCACTGTGGACATGGGCTGGGGGCTGTCTCCATCAGGCCTGGATCACAGCCTGTTTCCCTCTGTCCTCGCAGCACCCGAGATTGTCAACTATGAGCCCCTGGGCCTGGAGGCTGATATGTGGTGAGTTCTGGCATCCCTGGCGCAGCCCCGAGATGCCGCCGTGGGGCTGGGCTTTGCTTCCCAGCAGGGCGTCCGGCTGCAGCCTGGGTGCTGATCCCTCCCCTTGTCTCTCTCCAGGAGTATTGGCGTCATCACCTACATCCTGTGAGTACCTGGAGGACCTGGGGTGCCCCGATCTTCTCAGCACTCAGGGTCCTCACCCCCGGCTCCTCCAGAGGAAGGAGAGAGCCAGAAGAGACAGACAGACACTTGACTGGGTGCTGTTGCCAAGTGTTTCCAGAAGGTGACCTTGCTTTGCGATGTGGCTGTTCTAGCCACGGGCAAGGTGGGACCTAAGTTGTGGTCTGTCCGTAGGGCCTGGGCCTGTGGTCCATCCCCTTCCGTGATGCTGGGCACAGTACTCAGACAGACCTCATGGCTTGGCGTTAGAGTCAGGCAGTGTTGTGGGGTTTTCACAATTCTTTTTTTTTGGGGGGGGGCGGGACTGGAGATTGAACTCAGGACCTTGCACTTGCCAGGCAGGTGCTTATTCTTCTGCGCTATCTCCCAGTCCCAAAAGTGCTCACTTTTTTTTTTTTTTGCGGTACTAGGGATCAAACTCAGGATTTTGCGTATGCCAGTCAGGTGCTTGTGACACTAAGCTATTTCCCAGCCCATCCCAATTCTGATGTAGCCTGGGGCTTAGGGAAGAGCTGGAGGCAGTCCTGGCCTTCCTTTCTGTTTCACCTCTGCCTGTTACAGTCTACTGCCATTGCAGCCTGGGGCCCTCCCAGTGCTACCTTGGCGCCCAGGACTCACATGGCCAGGTGGCCCCTGCTGATGTCCTCCCAGTCCCAATCTTGTCTGGCACTCCGACACTTGGGTGGCTGGAGCCAATTCCTCAGTGCTTGTCCCCAGTGACCTTGGCTTAGGAGCACTCTCAGCTCTTTGTAGCACATCCCCGGCCGGGACTCCCCTGATGTTCCTTTGGGGTCCCATAGAATGGTACTGCACCCTCCCAGCCCAGCAGCTCAGCAGCTCACTCAGGGGTTGTGTCTGTCTCCTGGCTTCTCTGGAAAGTGGTGTATTTTCTGGCCCTTGTGACTGAGAGTCCCGGGAGAGATGCGTGGGACTGCATTGACCCAGAGGCTCTTGAGTTCTGCGGGGGCCTCCTTAGGCATGGGTGCTGGGGGCCCTAGGAGGCTCAGGGTGACCCTGGTGCCCCACTTGCCCATCCTCTGTGTGGCTCATAATGGGCACAGGGAGTCGGGTGTCCAAGGTGCCACCAGGGAGGGGGCTGCAGGGGTACCCTGAGCACGACCCTTGTCTGTCCTGCAGTCTCAGCGGGGCATCCCCCTTCCTGGGCGAGACCAAGCAGGAGACGCTGACCAACATCTCAGCCGTGAACTACGACTTCGATGAGGAGTATTTCAGCAACACCAGCGAGCTGGCCAAGGACTTTATCCGCCGCTTGCTGGTCAAGGACCCCAAGTATGGGGGATGGGAGAGTGGGGGTCGGCCACCTAGGTCTGGAGCTGAGCACCAGCTTGGTGTCCACTTTTGACCAGAGATGACAAACTAGAAGCTGTGGTTATATCTCAAACCCCCCCTTTTTTTTAAATTTTAAATTTGGGGGCTGGGGAAGATAGCTGAGCAGCATAAGGACTTGCCTGGCAAGCACAAGGTCCTCAGTTTGATCCCCAGTACCAAAAAAAAAAAAAAAAAAAAATTAAATTTTAGGGCAGGGTCTCACAGGCTGAGCTCAAACTTGTCTCCCGTGTCAGCCTCCCAGACTGTTGGGATGACAGGCATATGCCACCACACCCCAGCTCCACACGATGTTTAAATTCATCGCCAGCACTTCAGATAGGCTTTGTGTGGAACTGCAGATGGCTGCTTTCTCCTAGAGTCTGGGACGTGGCCATGTGCACCCAACTCCGCATGGGCCAGGCCCTCCCTGGGCCCACCTGAGGCCTGAGCTCAGCTAACCAAGCCCCAGAGAGTGCTGAGACCCGAGCCTTACAGGCTCTCAGAAGGAAACTGCCACTTGTGAGTGGTAGAGCCGGATCTGGGAGCGATTTTGGGGGCTCTGGGCCCTGGGGTCAGATGCCCAGGGACCTGCTCAAGGCAGGGCGTGGGGACCTGGCTGATGGCCTGGACTGCCCAGCAGGCCCGCCACAGGGTCGCATGTGTGACTCACCCCAGTGGGGCTCTTGCAGGAGGAGAATGACCATCGCGCAGAGCCTGGAACACTCTTGGATCAAGGTGAGGCAGGGCCTCTGGCCTTCCTGGGGAGGGGTGGCATGTCCTCATGTCACATGCAGCATGACAAGCCCTCAGCACCCGGGAGGGCAGCAGGGGGCAGTGACCTGTGCAGTGGGGTCCAGCGGGGCCGCTGTGAATGCCCTGGGAATGTGCCACTTGCAAAACATGGGGCTGCCTATGGCCCTCGCCTTGCCCAAGCTAGATGTCCCCACATTCCTGGTGTCCCTCCAGGCCATCCGGCGGCGGAATGTGCGCAGCGAGGACAGTGGACGGAAGCCAGAGCGGCGGCGCCTGAAGACGACCCGGCTGAAGGAGTACACCATCAAGTCGCACTCCAGCATGCCGCCCAACAACAGCTACGCCAGCTTTGAGCGCTTCTCACGGGTGCTGGAGGAGGTGGCTGCAGCTGAGGAGGGCCTGCGGGAGCTGGAGCGCAGCCGGCGGCTGTGCCGCGAGGATGTAGAGGCGCTGGCGGCCATCTACGAGGAGAAGGAGGCCTGGTACACGGAGGAGCGCGACAGCATTGGGCAGGACCTGCGGCGGCTGCGGCAGGAGCTGCACAGGACAGAGGCGCTGCGGCGCCAGGCGCAGGAGGAGACCAAGGGCGCGCTGCTGGGAGCCAGCGGGCTCAAGCGCCGCTTCAGTCGCCTGGAGAACCGCTACGAGGCGCTGGCCAAGCAAGTGGCATCCGAGATGCGCTTTGTGCAGGAGCTGGTGCGAGCGCTGGAGCAAGAGCGGATGCAAGGCGGAGAGTGCGGCCTGCGCTAGGGAGAGGTGGGGCGGGCCCTGAGCTGTGAGCAACAGGCCCTTGGCCTCCGCGTGGAGCCAGGGACTCATTGGGGCTCCAGTTTGGCAGTAAAGGGGATGCTGGCAATTCCTATGTTTTGTGAGTTTCAGGAGCTGCCCAGTGCTAGGTGAAGGGGCCTCTACAGGCCTGGGTGTGGGGGATAGAGCTCCTACCACCTCTTCACTCCCCAGAAGTACCCCCGGAGCCTGCCGTCAGCATTCTGGGTCACCTCCTGTCCCTTAGCCCTGCAGTGGCTGCCTGCCCTCCCGCAGGGGGCCCTTGCGCCTGCCATGCCATCTTCGTCTTCTGTGTGCTCCAGGAGCTGCCATAGCTTGCCCCTTGCTTCAGACCACAAGAGAAGCCACCCAGCCCCACCTGCCAGATCCCAAGACCCTCTGGGATATGTGCCCTGGGTTTAGGCCTGGGCAGGCGGAGACAGTCTGGGCCCTGGGGCCACAGGCCGTATGTGGCCTAGGCCTATCTATGGGTGAGAACCGCCGCATCCCGGCTGCTGCTGCATTCTGCTAGGCTCTACATATCTACATGACCATGTGCCTGCTGGAAGCCAGGTGGAATAAAGTTGCCTTCCCTGATGGCAGTGTCTGTGGTCCTGCCCCTCAGGACTGCACATCATTTCCTCTGCCACCTGCCTCCACTCAGGAAGACAGCTACGATTGTTCCTTTGCTTACCTCTGTCCCCTGATGTGTAGGCCCCGCAAGGTGGAGGGAGGCCTGGTCTAGAGACACCTGCAGGTCCCTGTGCAGCTACACAGGTGCGAGAGCCCTGCAGCTGTGCTCAGTGCCCCTGGGACAGCCCCTGTGGCCCTCACCGCCTTCCAGGCCAGGGTCCTGTGCCCTTGCTGGTCCTGGTCACAGCTGTGGCCTCATTCTGCCATCAAGGGCAAGTGTTCCCTTTTTAGTTTTTTAAAAACTTATTGGCATATGTGCAGGACCTGCTTGCGTGCTCTGGGAAGCTCGTACGTGGGTAGCAGCACTTCTCGGTTCCTTTAAAGCCCTCCTCCAGGAATCCTCATTTGTGAAGGGTCCAGCTCCCTGAATACAGAAGCAAGAGGCGAGGCCGTGCCGATGGGGAGGGACTTGCAGTGACGTCTGTCCCCACACAGGATGTCACTCAGCCAGGAAAGGAGCACAGCTGTGATACTTGCCAGTGTGGAGGGGTCTTGAGGACACTGCTCAGTAAACAGCCAGACAGGACACAGCATGGAATCCATCAACAGGAAACACCAGGATGGAGGACTCCAGAGATAGGAAGTAGACTCATGGTGCCTGGGCTTAAGAGGACAGGCGACTGCTCATGGGGGGGGGGGACTTTTGGTTAGGTGACAGAATGTTCTGGAACTAGAAGCAATAATCACACAGCAATGTGAAATAATATTAAGTTCTACACAAAAGATGATAATAGAAGGAGTCTTTTTTGCGTAACCGGGGATTGAACTCAGGCCCCTGTGCTTGCTGGGGAAGCGCTAATTCTACTGAGCCATCTCTCCAGCCCCTGGAAGGAGTTTTTTTTAATTTTTATTTTTTATGTTTTGGCAGTACCAGGGATTGAACTTAGGACCTTGCACTTGCCAGGCAGGTGCTTATTTATGCCACTGAGCTATATCCCCAGCCCCAAGAATGGAAAGAGCTTGTTTTAACACAAAAAACTACTACTGGGCATGGTGGTGCATGCCTCTAATCCCAGCACTTGGGAGGCTGAAGCAGGAAGGTTGTTGTGAGACCAGCTTAGGCTACAAAGTGAGCTCAGGACCAGCCTGAATTGCATAGCGAGACTCTCTCAAAAAGACAAAACCCAAAACTGGTGGCACACATGTTATCCCAGCACTCTGGGAAGGTGGGGGAAGAGGAATTTAATTTCAGAAAGAATTTTCTTTTTTTTTTTTTTGCTCCGAATGCCTTCAGGGCAGGTTTGGCTGGCTTGAGTTGTGGGGATCGAACCACAGCAACCTGAGCCTGACTGCTTTGTTGAAGCAGCCACTTAAAGAACTGAGCTAAGGGGCAGGCCCCCTAGGAACTCAATTTCAAACCCAGTGTGGACAACTCGGCAAGGCCCTCTCAGAAATTTAAAAAGGGGCTGGGGAGATGGCTCAGTGGAATAAGTGCTTCCCTGGCAAGCAGAAGGGCCTGAGTTCAATCTGCAGTACCATTAAAACACCAAACCTACCAGCCCCACTCCAGAAGCAAGCAGTTACTAGACGACAGCATGGAGCCATGTCCCAGGTCCACAGTGCCATGGCCCGCAGCCGTGGAGCCACCCCTCAGTAAGTGGCTCTGCTGTGCACACTTGTGCTCTCAGTAGGATGCTTCACAGCAGGCCAAAGGTAGAAACTAGAACCTAGTATCCACCCATGGGTGGAGGGGAACAGAAATGGGGTCCATTCACACACTAGAACACAGTGCAGCCTGGAAAAGGAAGTCCTGGCACTGCAACGGCCTGGATGGGCCTTGAGGCTGTGCTGCTCAGGGAGCTGAGCCAAACACAGAAGGTCACAGTGGAGGGTCCCACTCCCAGGAGGTCCTTAGTGTCTTCACAGCAACAGGAATGCCCTGGTGCCAACCCACTAGTACTGTATGTAACGGGTCTATTACAAGGAAGGTGGGAGTCCCCCGTGTTTTATCCCTCCCTGGGGCATCCTGGAGCAGGGGGGTGGGTGATGGCAGCTGGCAGGCTGAGGGCCTCTCTTGGCAGCACATGGGTGGAGCAGGTGCAGGCCCACCTGGGCACTGCACCTCTGCTGCGTGTCAGTGAAGCGGGGACTGCAACGGGTGACGCTCCATTGGTGCTACAACCCTGGGACCCTGGATTTAGATGTGGTGGTGCTCGAGCTGACCAGGCCCCTGACCTTTGGCAAATATATCCGTCTGCCTCCCACTGGCTATCCAGAAGTTCCCAGTGGGGCGCAAGTGCTTGATCTCAGGCTGGGGCAACACACAGGAAGGGAATGGTAAGTAGCCACCATGACCAAGGTGACAAGGCTTTAGTTAGCAGGGCCAGTGCTGGGGAGGGAGGGGATAGGCACCTTCCTGAGTCCCAGCCCCACTGTGTAGGGGTCTCTGTGCTGACCCCTCCTACAGGCTGTGACTCATTCAGTGCTCATGTCAGGGAGCCACAGGTGGCTCCACTCTTTTTAAATAAAGTTTTATTGGCACGTGGCCCACACACATTCATTGACAGACTGAAAACAGCTGCTTTCCTGGCTGGCTGGGTCCAGTAGTGGGGAAAGTGGCTGGCTCATAAAACATTTATGGAAGAGCTTGCTGACCCTGTGCTGCACCAGAGACCCCAACCAAGACAAGGGCTAGTGTTCCTGTGGAGACCCCAGAATGGCTTTGTACAGGTTAGAGTCAGAGGATACCCCAGGGCTTCACTCGGCCTCTGGGATCCACCACCTCCTGGTGGAGTCTGTGGGCCTGTGTGTGCGTCTGCAGGGTGATCAGCACCCGACTGGCACAGTGGTCACTCGCTAAGAAGCACGTGGCTCCCTCCTCTCCTGGCAGCCACCAAGCCTGACGTTCTGCAGAGGGCGTCTGTGGGCATCGTTGACTTGCCAGGGGAACAACAGTAGGGACAGCTGGCTGGTGTGGACAGGACTCTGGTGCCACTCTGGATTTCACAAGTGCTCAGAAAAACCCCGAGGGCACCTCAGCAGGTGTCCTATCCATAGGAGATAATCCACAGGGCAGTAGGGGTGCGGTTCAGTGGTAAGCACTTGCCCAGCATGTGGAAGGTCCTGGGCCATGCTCAGCACAAGAAAGAGGGGAAAAGAGACAGGGAAAAGTTTAGCCGTGAAGCAATAAAAACAATTTTTTCCAGTCCTAGCGACTGACCTGCATCTCCAGCCCTTTATATTGTTTTGAGTCTTGCCAAGTTGCTTAAGTTGCCCAGGCTGGGTTTGAAATTAACCATCCTCAGGCCTCACGCTCCCAGTGCTGAGATGACTACCGTGCTGTACTATACCCAGCTTCCAGTACCTGTTCTTGTGATTTTATTGGCACCTAGTCCTAAACATTCGTCCAACCTACAGTAGTCTTTCCACTACGACGACAGGGGAGTGACCAGGGGGACAGCCTAGTATTCCCCGGCTTGAACTCACTGACAGCCATGCTCCAGGCTGCCCGGGTTGCTACCGTGTGCAGCTGCGCGCAGCCTCGATGCACGGAATGACAGCCCATGCTCACACAAAAGCCTCGCTGCGCCTCTCCAACAATCTGCGCGCGCGTGCCCTGGAGAGATTGCACTTGTTCCAAATTGTCCAGGGAAAAGCACTTGTTCGTTAAGCTCAGTGAGCACGCGGGAGACCTCAGCCGCGATGTCCGACTCACCCTCGATATTACCCACGCCGTCTTACCTTCATTCCGATGCACCCTGCACCTATAGCGGCTCTTGTGGTTGGCCACAGCAATCTGTACGTTCACCTCTATGAAAAGTACCACGTCCAGCTTCTCCGAGCCTAAGCTACCATCCCCGGCCCTGGCAAGCCTGCCGCGGCCTCTAAGTTCTAACTCCCCGCCCCAAGCCGTCGCCAGCTGGGTTGCCCGGAGCACCACGGGAAGTGTAGTTCACACAGCAACTCCCGCATGGCCATGCGCGTCACCCCCGCAGCTGCGCAGGAAGCTGGGTGAACCAAGTAGTGGGAGAGTCCAGAGTGTAACACCCACAACACCATGCGGGAGGGCCAAGGAGATAGCTCAGTGATGTAAGCGTCAAAACAAAACAAAACAAACAAACCAGCGGGGGTGGGGGTTTGGGGAGATGGCTCAGTGGAATAAGGGCTTCCCTGACCCGAGTTCAAGTCCCGATTCCGCAAAAAAGGGCGGGGCGCCTTGCGCATGCGCAGTGGTTACTCAGGTACAAGTAGGTAAAGCGCTTTTGCTAAGCCCCAACTTTCCCGGCTGCAAAGCTGCGCTTGCGCGCATGATGACACCTCTACACCATAGTGGACGAGGGTGTCAGGAATACTAATGGCCTCACAGGGCTTCCAGGTTTTGAGAAATTAAGCAAACAGCGATTAAAATCAAAGTGTTTATTGGAGTGTTATACAAAAGTTTCCAGTCTTAAAATGTATATTATAAATCAAGGGGAAAAAATACCACATTTGGCATGCACTTTTAAAAACCCTAAACAAAGTCCCCAAAGCGAGCCATCCAGCCCAGTGCCATTGGGGCTGTGTCCCTCGCAGGCTAGGCGGGTGGTGTCCACACAGGAACGTTCCCAACTCTGATCTTTAGTGTAAACGGGGCCGCAGCTGTGTCGGGAAGGACTAAAACCAGCTATGGAAGCAGGTGGGTCAGGACCCAGTCGGAAGGGCGCTCTAAGGGGCGTCGAGCTAAGCTCTCTGGGGCAGTGCACACGGCTCCACGGGCCGCCATCCACTGTGGAAACCCACACCAAAAGCACCCGAGACTTGGTGACTAACAACCATCCATGTCCAACACTGCTGCACTCCCTCCAAGCAAGGACAACCCAGGGACCGCAAAAGGGGACAGGTCAGGGCAGGAGGCTGCATCTGAGATCAGGGCAGGCCAAGGGCAGCAGCAGCCCCACGGGCAGATCAGCCTGCCGGACCTCGTGAGTAGGGCTGCCAGTAAGCCACGCTTCCCTCTGCCTGAGGAGATAGCTCATCCCCTGGGACTCGGTCACCAGGTGAGATGAGGGACTTCTAACAGCAAGGGCGGCAGCAGGTTCTAGGGCTGCCAGCAGTGACATCTTCCTCGTTGGGCCCAGGATTCCTCACCAAAGGCATTTCCCAAGGAGAGCAAGCAGGACCCATGGGCAGCGAGAGCCACTCAAGAGGGGCAGGGGGCGGTGTAACCCAAGACTCCACTTTCCTGGAACAGTAAGCAGTCATGGCTCAGTGTGGGCTTCTTAAGACTTGAGCTGCACTTTCTGAAGGATGTTGGCCATTCGGGGGCAGAGCTCCCTGTCCTCATGGCACCCCTGAGATGACAGGAGCCCCTGAAGCTATACCCCAGTGACCTGTGTACTGACCTATGTAAAAAAATAAATATCCATTAAAAAAATAACTTCTGTGTATCTATGTGGAGGGTGAGTGGTGATGGTGGGAAGGGGTTGGGTCCAGGGACCAAGCTGTGATGTGGAACCATCCAGATGGGGTCACCTGGCATTTAGGTGTCTGGCTGAGAGCTGCACCCTCAGTGAAGTCACAGAGCACGTGACACTTGCTATGCACTGTGCGTGCCCAGCAGACAGGACAGGGCTCCTGCACACTAGGCCAGGGCTGCCCTGGGTCTGAACCCCAGACGCAAGCTACCTGTCCCCTTGTCTTGTCCCCTCCCATGTGTCATGGTGACAAAGCATGGAACAGCAGGGTTCCTGTTCCCCAGGCTCACTCCTCTCCTGCCTGTGGGTCCTGCAGGCTTGGGACAAGATCTGTGGGAGCAGCTCCAGAGCCGAGGTCCAGAAAAGGCAGCGGCCGCCTGCCTGTCGGGCCGGAGCTGCCAGGGGCATCCTGGCCCAGGCCACGTCCCGCTGCTCCAGTCACTCTTTTTTTTGGTGGGGGGAACCGGGGATTGAACTCAGATTCTTGCGTTTGCCAGTCAAGCGCTTATCCTACTGAGACATCTCCCCGGCCCCTCTCCAGCCACTCTTGATCCCCAGGTGCCACCCATGCCCCCAACATCCCCCCTACCAGGTTGGAACCTGGTTTCTGCTTTTGGTTCTGAGAAAACTTTAAAAAGAGCACACCCCACACTCTTACAGAATCCCCACAACTCCCCAGTGGCAGCCTCCACCTTCTTGGCTTCCGGGTTCCTGGCCTTGGGCCTTCAATTCAACCTAATGGCCAACTTGGAGCAGAGTGGGGGTCAGAAAGTCTGGACAGTAGAGAAACGTGACAAAGGGATGATCCAGGGACACCGCTGATGGATAAGCACTGCAGAGACCCCCCCTCCCCCATGCGCTGGTGGTTTGCTTAAAAACCAGCTAAAAACGTGTCCAGAACTAATGAAAGTCATGATAGCAAAATAGTCCCGGGTTTGAGTACAGGAGGGCGGTGTGCAGTCACATTAGGTGGCAGCCCCTTGCTGTGGCCCGAGGGTCGCCCTGGAAGGAAGGAAAGAGGGCAGCAGCATCAGGCCAGGCCTAGTGGCTCCATGCCCCACGCTGCGCAGCTCACTGTGGCCCTTGTTCCTAGATCTCCTCGTCTATCCCTGTCCCCATGGCTTGAGCCACACATACATCTCATACTCTTGATCTGGGAGTTGGAAGAATCACTCAGCAGGCATTAACAGGCCCAGATTCTCAACACCTTCCCCAAAGCCATGTAGGTGGCCGGCAGCTCCCTTGCAGATGACTTGCTGATGGGTGCTGGGCCGTGCTAGCAAGACCTCAGGACAAGGGGCCAGGAAGATGGCTCAGTGGAATAAGCGCTTCCTTGGCAAGTGCAAGGGCCTGAGTTCAATCTCTGATTCCACGGGGACACACACACACACACACACACACACACACGGACAGACGGACACGGGGACACCTCAGGACAGGCCTGGCTACCTGTTGGTGGAAAAGATCTTCCTCGCCGAATTCAGCCTCCTCTTCCTCCTCCTCCTCCCCATTCTCCTGCACGGCTGAGCTCTGCTTCACAGCTCTCACAGCCACTTCCTGTGCCAGGTGAGGGCCACCACACTCAGTCTCACTGTGGCCCTAACCCTCACATGCCACCCAGAAGCGGGCCCGGGGCTGCCTGTAGGAGCTCCTCCACCCCACTCCACCAAAGGACCCGGCACTTGGACATTGGTGGACACCCAGGGCCCAAACCCCTCTGCCCTGGAACCTACCTCCCCGTCGGCGTTTACTAGGATGGTACGGAAGTTCTCACCAGTGCCCCAGCTGCTCTGGCTCTTCCACACGAGTGTCGAGGGTGGGCTGTGGGCTACCCCTGTGCCTGCTGCCCACACCTAGGGATGGGAGAACAACTGCACCTGTGAGTGGTTCTGGGCCGTGAGCCCTTCAGGGGGGCTGAGCAGAGACACAGCACACGACACCTCTGGCCTCCCCACACGTTCAACACCCCATCTCTGCTGCACTCAGCCTCTCTATTACCCCTCTCCACCCTGTCCTGCCACCACCTACCGTGACCGTTTGTCCAGCCCGCAGGACATACTTGGGTGTGAACTTGTAGGCAATCTCGTCACCCTCAAGGACCTGCCTCTTGATCCTCCAGTTCCCCAGGGACTGATCCTGGAGGAGGTAGACAGCTGGCTGACCCTGGCCTGCTGCACGGAGCCCCAGTGTCCAGCAATATACACCTCCCAGCAAGACCCCTCACCTTGTCTGAGTGGTTCTTGAGCCGCACAAACCTGCCCTCCAGGTCGACCTCCTCGATGTTGACACCACCTGTGGCGGAGGCCTGCTGGGCCAGGTGGAAGCTGCTGCCACTGATGCTGCTGCTGCTGCCAGAGCTGAGGCCTCTTGAGCTGGAGCCACTGCCCGGCGTCTCCTGGGCCTCCAGCCGCCGGCGCTTGCCGCGGCCTGGGCGCCCAGCTGCAGACATGCTGCTTGTGCTGCTGCTCGAGGTGGCCCGCGAGATGGTGACCCGCGAGGATGGACTGGGGGACAGCTTCAGCCTGGGGGTGGTATGGAGAGGGCATCAAAGGTAGGCCCGGAGCTGGGGACTGGGGACCTGGGACCGGGGCTACCCCACCGCTCCTGCCACACACCGCTCCTCCTCGCCCTCCAGCAGCTTGCGGTAGGCACTGATCTCCACGTCCAACGCCAGCTTCACATCCAGCAGCTCCTGGTATTCGGCCAGCTGCTGCTGCATCACATCGCGCATCTGCGTCATCTCCTGCTCCTTGGCGGCCAGCAGACTCCGGAACTTCTCCCGCTCCCCGGCCGCGGCTGCCTCCAGCTCCTGGATGCGCTCCTCATTGGCGCTCGCCTGTGGGCCAGGGTGGGGTCAGCACTGCCTCTTAGACCCCAAGGTGCCCACCCGCCCTGACACTCTCCATAGTGGGCCAAGGCAGTCACCTTATTCTGGAGGCTGGACAACTGGAAGCTGAGGGACTCAATGCGCATGCGCGCCTCCTGTAGCTCCTCACGGGCCGCGCTGGCCGCCTTGTCGTTCTGGTCAGAGCTCAGCCTGGCGTTCTCCAGCTTGGGGCAGGGGACACGAGCAGTGAGCCTCGGCGTCGGCATCCCGCCCGCCCCCCTGCAGCACCGCCACGGCACCTTGGTCTGGTAGGTCTGCTCCAGCTCCAGCCGGTACAGCCGCACTTGCTCGTCGTGCTGGCTGCGCAGCTCCTCCAGCGCCTGTGCCATCTTGAAGTCGTACTCCTGCTGCCGGCTGCTGTCCACCTCGACCAGGCGGCGCTCGTGGCGCCTCCGTGTCTCCCGCACCTCCTAGAGGGGCCGGACAGGTGACGCTGGGCACGAATCCCCGTCCTGACACCCCCGCTGGGCTCCCCATGCCCAGCTCGGCACCTCAGGTGGCCTGGCCCCAAAGGGTCCCCGTTCGCAGGAGCAGCGTCCACCACTGGACAGACGGGCACACAGCCAGGTCCACCCTGTGCTGGAAACGCCACTTGGCCGTGACACTTGCCAGGGCATGGAAGATTATGTTGTACAAGTGACTATGAACTCACTACGCAGCCCAGGCTGGCTCTGAACTCTCGGGATCTCCTGCCTCAGTGTCCTGAGTGCTGGGATTACAGGTGTGAGCCACCGTGCCCGGCTTGCACCTTTCCTTTTTTCTTTTTGTATTTAGTACAGCATCTACAGGGTCTCACTACACAGATCAGACTCATAGTGGTCCTCCTGTTTTCAGTCTCCCAAATGCTAGGATTATGGGCACAGGCAATCACGCTCAGTTTCGGCCGCTGTCTCAGTGTGCCCAGGGGCACAGCTGGCACTGCATGGGGATCGAATCCCGGTCCCCTAGCACTTGCCTAAGCAGGCACTTTAGTCTGTTGAGCTATCTGGCTGGCCAGCACAACCTTTTCAATACACCAAAAGTGACTGAACTGCCAATTTACAAGTATGGCCTTTACAGTATGGGGCTATGTATCGCTTCTCGGCCTTTTGGCTAAGATCAAGTGCAGTATGGGGCTGTGTATCCTAAAAACTGTTAGCTAGGCAAGTGAGATAGCTCAGCAGACTAAGTGCCTGCTTATTAGGCTAGTGCAGGGACAGGGACTGGGTTCAATCCCCATACCACATGCCCCACCAGCCCCACTGCTGGGTGCACTGAGCTGGTCACTGAGGTGGGCGTGGTGGTGCACACCTGTAATTCCAGCGCTGGGGAGTCTGAAAACAAGAGGATCACTACGAGTTCGAGCTGCGTAGTGAGACCCTGTTCCAAATACATAAATAAGAAAAAAACAAAAAAACAAAGCTGTTACTTTACAGGAACTACTAGCTGGACATGATGGTGCAGACTTGTAATGGGGGGGGGTGTTCAGAAGGCTGAGGCAGGAGGATCACTGAGTTCAAGGCTAGCCTATACCACAGAGAACTCAAGGCCAGCCAGTGAGGCCCTGTCTCAAAAAAAAAAAAAAAAAAAAAAAAAAGAGAAACAAAAACTATAAGAAGAAAGAATTACTGACACAGCCCATTTCCCATCCGTGGGTCCTAGATATAGGTGGCAGTAGATTAAGTCCTTGGTACAGGGGTGGAATGAGACAGGGCCGGGCAACGATGGGACCACAAGGGCAGCTGTCCCAGATGCACAAGACCCTGTGCTTTAGGAAGGAAGATGCCTCTTCTGAAAGTAGGCGGTGGCTCTGGCACAGGAGGGGGCATGGTGACAGATGGGATGGGACACGCAGGGAGGCTGTCTAAAGGTAGCAGGCATTCCACATCTAGCAGAGTTGCTCCTGGCCACCACGGGCACCCACCTGCAGGGTGCCCTTTGGGGACTTCAGCCAGGACTCCTTCTGGGGCACCCTCCTGGCTGCCCTCAGGGCCATGTCCCCACCTCTCTTCACTACGCGCTTTGTGGGGTTCTTCCCACGTCCCCACGCAGATCCCCTTCTGCGTCTCTTCACAGTGGCCTTTGTGAGCCTCTCCACCGGCTCTCTGGGGAGTCTCCCGGTGGGCTCCTGCAGGAGTGCAGAGCCCTCTATAGGGCTGGGTTCCCTCGCAGGTCCCTCCTCGGGTTTTGTCACGGGGTCAGGCTCCATCCCAGGTCTCTCTGTGGGCCCCCCAGCTTGAGGTCCGCATGGGAGTCTCCTCATAGGCTCCTTGAGGGGCTCCGTGGCCCTCTCTGTGGTCTCCATCCTGAGCTCGGGTTTCCTCCCGCGTGGCTCCCACACGAGTCTCTGCACAGGTTCACTCGCGGGCTTCAGGTCCCTCCCCGGCCTCCTCAGGGGCTCCTTCATGGGCTCTGGCTCCCTCCTGGGCCTCTTCACAGGTCTCCCGATGGTTTCCAACACCCCCGAGGGAGTCTCCACAGCCTCCTCCCCGAGCTTCGGCTTCCTCCCAGGCCGCTGCCCAGGTTTCTCCATGCGCCTGGACTCCCCGACGGGGCTCTGTCCGGCTTCCTTCGGGACTCCGGGTTCCTCAGTAATCTCAGGCTCACACGTGGGCGTGCACCCACGTTCCCTGATGGGCCTGGGTTCACCCACGGGTCCCACCACAGGTTCCTTCGTAATTTCAGGGTCCCCCATGAGTGTGTTCCCGGGTTCCCTCGTGGGTCTGGAGTCGCCCACAGTTCTCTCCACGGGTCCTCCTAGGTTCAGGTTCCCTTGGGGGTCTGTTTCCAGTCTCTCCGGCTCCCTTGGCGTCTCGTCCACTCCCTAGGCCCCTGGGGACCCCGGTGTGGTGGACACCTGTGTGGGGGTCCTGAGAGCCAGGAGCCTCCCTGTGCACTGGCCACAGTGGCCCCACCCTGGGATTCTGGGGCGCTCTGTGACCTCACCAGGAGCCAGGCCCCACCCACAGCCGGGTTCCACAGGACACACTGGGTCACTCCGAGCCTGCCCCAAGGTCCCAAGTGGCCAGAGGCCCTGAGACCAGGAGATTGAGGTCTGAGAGAACGTGCCTGAGACAGAAGGTAGGGGCCTCAAGTGTAGAGAAGAGCAGGTGGGCCCCACCCTGGGGGGGAGGCTGGGTGACAGCCCCAAATCCCGATCCCTACAACCAGCGGTGGGAACTTATGTGGAAACAGAGTCTGCAGATGTTACTGAGGTGAGGGTTTGGAAAAGAGATTCTGGATTATTCAGGTGGCCCTAAATCCAGCAGCAAATGTCCCTAAAAAGATTCATAGAAGGACAGAGAGGAAGAGACTAAGTGAAAACAGGCAAGAGACTCCAGTCACAGCCCCGGATGCCCGGAGCTGCAGAGCTGTGGGAGCTCAGAAGGGCTGTCCCTGTAACCCTGCGGGATGTGACCTCCAGGCCCAGGGAAGACGCCTCCCGCCCCCAGGCTGGAGCAGCCGGGACAACGCAGGATGATGCAGGCAGGTGAGGGCTGAGCCGACCTCACCTCCTCACACACGCTCTTCTGGAAGTCCAGCTCCTCCTGCAGGCTCTGGCAGCGGTTCTCCAGGTCCACACGCATCAGTGTCTCCTTCTCCAGCTGCTGCTTGGCCACAGCGTGACCGTCCTCTGCCTGGGAGACACAGGACAACGGGCTGTGGCATGTGTGCATGGGCCACAGTGGCGACCCACGGGGGCTCCTCGCCTACCTTGGCCACCTGTGCCCGGAGCTCTGCCACGTCACCTTCCAGGCTGCGCTTGTCACTGAGTGCGGCGGCCAGCTCCACCTCGCTCCGGTGGAACAGGGACTCCAGGTCCTTCACACGGCCCTGGGCCACAGTAAGCTCACCCTCCCGCTTCTTGGTGCTGAAATCCAAGAGGGGACCTGAGCCAAAAGGGCAAGTGGCAACCTGGCCCCAGGAGTCCCTCTGGCAGTGCTGAAGTTGCCAGGAGGACCGAGTGTCAAGGGGCTGAGTCCCTCCCATTCCACGGGACAGAGGCAGGCCAGCCCTGAATCCCCCTCAAAATACTCCCCTGTGTCAGAGTCATCTCATCCTTTTTTTATAATACACATTTGCAGGCCACGATCAAATGCACTGTGGGGGTGGGCACCTCTGTTAACATGGCTCCTTCTCCTTATGTCCCCTTCCCGGCCCTTTCCCCTTTCTAACGTAGTTCTGGGCCAGGCATGGTGGTGCACACCTATCATCCCAGCACTTGGGAGGCTGAGGCAGGAGGATCACCACATGCTTTCTTTCTACAGCCTACAACAGTGAGTTCAAGGCCAGCCTGACCAACACACTAAGATCCTGACCCCAAAATAAATGAGCTGGGTGGTGGTGGTGTACTCCTGTAATAAAACAGAACAGTTCTGGGAGTCTCCTTTTCTGTCTCTAGTGGCTGCCTCAATGGCCTGCCTTAAATCCAGACATTCATCTTGCATCACCATTTTGACATTGGGAAAGAATGAGAACTAGTGAACAAAGTGGGCAAGGACACACACAATGGTTTTATGAGCTGGAATTCCACTGGGTGGCACTCAGCAGCAGTCGTCACACTTTAGATCACTCCCAGCAAAGCATGAAAAACTTCTGTAATTGCTTCAGAAAGTGGCCAGCAGGGGCCCAGGGGATAGCTCAGCAGAATAAGTGCTTGCCTGGCAAGCCCAGGGTCCTGAGTTCAATCCCTGGTACCACAAAAAAAAAAAAAAAAAAAAGAAGAAGAAAAAGAAAGTGGCAAGCAGGTGCAGTGGCACACACCTGTGACCCCCGCACCTGGGAGGCTGAAGCAGGAGGATCACTATGAATCTGAGGTTAACCTAGGTTACAAAGTGAGTTCAAGGGCAGCCTGGACTGCATAGCAAAATCCTGTCTCAAGAAAAAAAAGTGAGTTAATTGGAAAGATTCTCACCCTAACTATATATACTGATACCTGGGAACTAAGCTACTGCACTGCAGATGGTAATTTGTAACAGTTGTTTCATGATGGGAATGCCTGTCATTGTG